ATATATATACTGCTTGACGCCAAGTCAATGGTGGATATGGGAAAAATATAAGTAAATGAAAGAAAATCTTGAAAATGATCGAATGGATATATCAATAAAGTTACCAAATGTTGCAGAACTAAATGTAGTCCAACCATCAGCCACACTCCTGTTTCCAGTAATAATAGTCTTGTTGATCCCATCACCCGTCATCATAATATACCGTTTGTTACTGGGAATGGAAACATATTCTTCGTAAACACCAGCCACCACATGAATCAAGAAATAACCACTGCCTGCAGCAGTATTGTTGGGAGCTGCAGCCACAGCTTCATTAATAGTTATGAAGTTACCACTTCCATCAGGATTCACAACCACGCTTTGATTCACAGTCACACCATATTCATTTGACTGAAGCAGTTTCCTTCCACCAGAAAATGGAAATTTCTTCTCTGATAGTGATCGGGATTTGATAGCGGAATAACCCCATCCATGCATGAAAAGTGCTAATGAAACGCTAAAAGATTTGGCCCCATCCGATAATGGAGATAGAAGCATATTTGTCACGATTGTACCAACAGCTACATCTTTGAGACCGTCGGAACAAGTTTCTTGGTTTGTTAATATGGCACTTAGCACCGTTTGAATATCTTTAGCTTGTAACCTGTTGATACAAAATATAATTAAGTAATTAAAAATGTGCATTTTCTAACCGCTTATACTTTTAGATAAGATAGGACATACAAATCAATATGATTCGTAACATAACATGCATGACGTTCTGCAGCGTTTCAAATCTCATAGCCGCGGAAAAAGTGAAACATATATATATGATCAAACCACATGTGATGGGGTGTTTTGATGGATAATATGATTAAGTAATTTAAAGTGTGCTCTTTCTAATAGTTTAACCTTTCAAGCATGTTTGTAGAATGGATGGACTGAATGGCGCTTAAAATAAAGTCATGGTTCAAGCTACAGAGAAGTTGGCAATCTTCAAGGGCACGAATGGTGGTTTCAGGCAATGCATATCGAAGATTAAAGAGATCGTCATTGACCAAAGAAAGGAGATGATCATTCATTGATAAGGAATGGTGAAGAGAGAGACGGCCATAGTCTTGAATAGTAGCAGACTTGTTGATCGGTAACATGTATTTGCAAAATTCGGGGAATGGTGTATAGCTGCAAAAGGATTCTGAAGAAAAAGGGGAAATTGCATTTGCTGGAAAGAAAAAGGAAAAAAGCATGAGAAATGGAAGTAATGAATGAACTTTACCCATGGTTGTAACACTGGTTTCGTCCAGGTCGACGTGCAATTAATCCCTCTATTTATAGATTTATAGCTTGAAGAGTGACAAAATTTTTAAGAATAAGATTAATAAGATGCTTTGAAAAAAGTAAGTATATAAAAGCATTTTTAGATTTCAGGCACAATTGATTGTGAAGCAGTGAGGTGCCAACTGGGCAGGACTAGGATGGTTGGAATTTTTCTCGTCACTAAACAATGGCGAAGCCACATGGTTGACCACCCTTCGTCGAAAAATTACACTGTGTACAGAGGTAAAATATTATATTTTAGAGGTATATAACACATATTGAACACCCTTTGTCAAAAAAAAATTCACTTCTTTAAAATTTGAACACTCTTGAAAAAAAATTTAGTTTCGTCACTGCTACTAAAGCTCCTCTAAGGCTCCAAACTTACATGTTCATCAATTTTCCAAATTCACTGCCAACTTACTTTTTCCCCGATAGTGGGTAACATGAACTAATAAGGTTTTAACTTGATATTGAACTTCATTTACTATAGTATCCGAAAACTAGATACGTACGCGTGGAAAATGTTGAGAAATTGAAGAAAAAGTCATAGGAAAAAATTTCTGCCTAATATCATAGGACACTTCTACCACTAACTGTTTTCAAAGATTAGCGTATCTGGAATGAAAGTAACACAGACGTGTGCCCCGGCAAATCCATGGAATTAAGGTTGCTGCACATGAATGATAAGCAAAAATTATGTTCGGCAAAGTATTTGGTAGTGCTTCCTCTATCTGTACTAATTGGGGAGTCAAATGATATTTTCTTTAATTAAGAGTTTTCAAACTCATTTCAAATATAGCGAGTTACTAATATATTGACTTATAGTACTTTATTGTAGTTTTAAACTTTTAAATGTATTTTATAACTTTTAAAGAATTTGTAATCGACTCATACTAAAAATTAGATATTTTGAATCTTGTACTTGTAAACATTTAAACTTTATTAAATCTAACTATTTTGGACTATATTAAATTTAAAATAAATTCCAAATAAATATTATGGCTAATACACTTGGATTTAATAAGTAGTCCAAATATATTGGTCTAGTCCATTTAATTAGGTTCCAAATGAATAAAGGAAATTTTACCTCCTATAGCAAAGGTTGATACCTTATTTATTATAAGTAAATATCCTTTTAAAAAATTATCTCTTATAGCTACCTTTTATTTTTTATAGCAAAATATCTATTTATGGCCACTTCCTACTTTTAAGCTATTAAATACCATGTGTATTATTTTTCTCTCTCCCTCTCTCTTCCCTATCTCCTCCTTTCTCTTTCCTCTTTCTTCTCTTTCTCCCCCGATTTTTTCCTCCCCTGCTTTTAGAAACCCTAGTAGGGGCTGTGTTCCGCCAACGACAGATCTAGCCGGCGACCACTTCCCCCCTTCCTTGTTGTGTCACCCCTAACCCCCTCCTCCGGCCGGCGATTTCTTTCACACAGTTGTATTACACATTCTAAATTTTCTTAGATTTTGCATTGATTGTTCATATTTGCCTTGTGAGATCTGAAGAAGTTATGTCTCTAGTTTCTGTTTGATCCTTTAAATTGGTACTTCTTCAACAACTATCTTCATTTAACCGGTGGCGACGCCCCACATGGCGGTGGCTTGGATATTGGTGGATTGGGGACGGAGTTTGGAGCTGAGGAACTTGAAGAGTTTGTTACCTTTTTTTTCATTGTATTTCAATGTATCTCGCGGTATTCCATGTATTTCATTGTATTCACTGTCTTTTTTTCATTGTATTTCAATGTATCTCGCGGTATTCCATGTATTTCATTGTATTCACTGTCTTTTTTTCATTGTATTTCAATGTATCTCGTTGTATTCTATGTATTTCATTGTATTCACTGTCTTGTTGTATTCCATGAATGTATTTATATGTTTTTTTTAATTAATATAACGTATGTATGTATGTATGTATGTATGTATGTATGTATGTATATAATGTATCTGCAGTATATATTTATATGATTTTGCACTATAGATGACCTGCTATACTTCATGTAATCAATGTATTTTTATGTATTTAACTGTATTCAATGTAATTATATAATTTTAATATATAAATCTATTTGTAAAGATATCACTAAAAAATATTTAGTAAAGATACCATTAAAAAAAGAAAGGATGGATTGAATCTCTAAAGATTGCTCTGTTTTTTGGGGTATTTTTCGGTTAAGAATCTTTTCTATAATTGGAAATACAAATTTTGTGTGTTATAATTGAATTTGTTGAGTTATATTAAGAGTCCATCGCGTTAATTGATTCACTTACCGTTTTTAAACAGCTGAAGACCTTTTTTCGCAAATTTCGTTATTGTATCACGAATACAGCTTGCGAATACAGTCGAATACATTCTCTACTTAGCTGAACTCCCTTGTTTTCCGCCGAGTTTTGCTACTGTATTCATGAATACAGTTGCAAAAATACATCGAATACAGTCTATAACAAGTGAAAATATAGCTATAGGAAGTAATTTAGTAAATGGTAGCTATAGCAAGCTAATAATCACTAAAACATAGTGGTTTCTGAAAATTTCTCAATGATAAACCCAATTTATTAGGCCCAAATTACTATGGCTCATCTTAAAGCCCAGTCTCATGCCACGTGTCAAGTGATGTGGCAATCCAAGCCAAATAAATGAGGCAATGAAATCATGCCATTTGTCAAGAAAGGATGGCATATCAAGTCAAATCAACAACCAATAAAGTTGTGACAAGTGTCTAGTTGGTATTGGTCAGTTCAAACGGACTAATTAATATGCAAAGCCACATCGTTCCCTACAATTATAAATAGAAGCCTTCATAAAGCTAGAAGACACTAGAAGTGAGAACAAGAATCAAGCAGAGAGCTCATGGATCAAAGGTTGCAAATTTCTCCACAAACTATAAGTTCAAGCACTCAAGCTACAAGATCAAGAACGAAGGCAAACCAAATATCAAGGCGTTCATGATCAAATTACTTGTTCGTGGCGGATAATTAAATCAAGTTCAAAATGGAGATTCAAGACCATGCTTCACAGGCTCTTGAATCAAAATCAAAATCAAGCTCATCAAGATAGTTTATATTCTTGAAGAATCAGAGGAACACTATAAAAATTGTAATGCTAATCATTTATTGAAATCAAATACTACATTTTTATGCAATTTTCTTGCCTTGATTATTTATTTTTCTCTATGCAAAAATTTTTTGTTACAAATTTTTGGCACACCCGGTGGGACGATCTCTACCCCTCATCTCTTCAATTACCAAATTTTAAGAACACTGAAATGGCTCCAAAGAAGACCAATTTCAAATTCGCTACTACTAAGGCCACAGATTCCAAGTTTTCCTCTGATGTGAAAAACTTGCTAGACGCTACTATGGAAAGCATATGACCGATCACTAGGAACAAAGAAAACTTTCTGGGACAACATGCTTTTCAAATTCTATCTGCACTGATTCCTATCTTTAATTTTTGATCCTCAAAGGGGGCAAGATCCTTTTCAACTGAATTGGAAGAAGGAGAGAACATTGCTGAAATTGTTGAAAAGACATTGGCTCTACTTAGCCCCTCTAGATCTAAGAATCTCATCATACAAGATGATGATGATGTCTTGATCACTGAATTTGCTCCAATCACTCCACATGAGTTGTTCCACTCAAAGTACGATGTAAAAGAAAATCCATGTTTTACTCCACCATCCACGGCAATTAACCAACCAAAGGTGACTAACACTTCAACTGTTAAAGAAAAACTCGCAAATTTAACAAAGGCAATTGAGGAGTCAACGAAGCATATGCAAGATCAAGATAATAAAATTGTCAAGTTGACAAATAGTATTGAAAAAATGATGGAGGGAGATTCAAGTCATGCACCTGGGAAGCTCCCTATGATGCAAGATAAATGAGACTCATCCGCAAGGCAAATAATGACACCTAAGGAACTTCAAATTTCATCTGATAGGGCAATTCCCATTGACTAGTTGAAAGACTTCACTATGGGAACCATTAAAGACAAGTACAGTATTGCCGCCAAGTATTCTCTCGCATATGCGAAGAAATATACTTCATGAATTGATAGTTTGAAGATGCTTATGGGTTATTAACCTTCAAAATTTCAACAATTTGATAGTAAAGGAAATTCAAAGAAACACATTACACACTTCGTTGAAACTTGTAATAATACTGGAACCTATGGAGATTATCTTGTCAAGCAGTTCGTTTGCTCCTTAAAAGAAAATGTTTTTGGTTGGTACACTGGTCTCGATGTTGGTTTCATAGATAGCTAGGAGAAACTTGAACATGAATTTCTCAATAGCTTCTATAGCACAAGGCAAACTGTAAGTATAGTTAAACTCACAAACCCCCGTCAATAGAAGGATGAGCTGGTCGTTGATTTTATCTATCGATAGACGAATGCAACCTCAACTGCAAAGACATACTTAGTCAAGCTTTAAAAATAGAAATGTGTATCCAAGGAATATATTGGGGACTTCGCTACATTCTACAAGGTATCAAGCTTAAGTCTTTGAAGAATTAGCTATACTTGCTCATGATATGGAGTGAAGTATATTTTCAAGTGGAATCTTGCTTATGAATCTTGCAAAGGGAAGGATAAACAAGAAATAAAATGGGGGCAAGTTTATACCAAAGTCTGAGAGTAAAGAATCAATGAATGTTAATGCCCCACCATTAAAGGTCACTACAAAAATGAGTAAGAAGCAAAATATGAAGACAACATCCTTAGAGGATAAAACTTACCGAAATTTAACTTTGAAGGAAATGCAAGTGAAGAAGTATCCATTCGTGGACTCCGATGTTCCAGCAATTTTTGAAGAACTCATTGAGTTACTTGAAATGAAGCATCCAGATGAAGCTGGAAAGACTAATGATTTAAATTATTGCAAATACCATCGGTTGATTAGCCACCCTATTGAAAAATACTTTATTTTCGAGGATAAAGTCATGTACTTGACCGATGAAGGAAAAATATAGCTCGAGGATGAGAAAGAAAGTTCGAATCAAGTCTCTGTCACTTTTGGTTGACTTAATCCCATTATTCTTTGCAATTTTGTCGAAGTACATGAATATGAGGGCATCCAAACTACATCACCATCAAAGATGATTAAATTTGGTAACTTTTAACCTCTTGACGTGAGCAAATCATTGCTAATCCTTATAGTGAATAAAGTAATAGTGGAGGAAAGATCTCAATAAGGAAGTGAATCACATGATGGTAAAACTGGTTATGAAGGTTGGATTCTTGTGACTCGGTGGAGACGTTGCAAGACAAATTCACAAAAGGAGTCAAACAAAAAATTAACTATGGGAAAAGTGGTGAAAAGGCCCAAGAAGAGAAGGGTAAATAAGAATTTTAATAAAACAAAAATGGAAGAGAATCACTATCAACGACTACGTCATCTAGTGACAGTGTAAGAATTTCTGTCAAGCTGATTGCGCATGCAAGTTTCCTGTGAAGATATCAAGGCCTCATGTTGTAAAGTAGATGAAGAAGAGACAACGAAAGAAGATCCGTCATTGCTGCCACCTTCTCAAGAACTCACTGAGCATCTCTTTGAAGAAGTGGACACTTGTGATGTACAAATCACACCTACTAATGATGATTTTTGCTAGGTAAAACACATCATAATTGTCCCATGTTTGTTGGCTTTGTGCGTGAGCAGAGAGTGAGTAGAATTTTGATTGATGATGGATCTGGCATTAATATTCTCCCAGTTCGTACTGTCAAAGAGCTTGGTATACCAATGGATGAACTATATAAAAGTCATTTGATGAATCAAGGAAGGTAAAAAGTTATATGGACTATCAAATTGGAAATAAATATAGGAGATATGCATTCGAGTACATGGATGAACATGATCGATACAAAGACCTCATCTTGTTAGGAATGACATGGATACACGATAACAAAGTGGTTTCATCCACTTATCATCGATGCTTAAGTACTGTAAAGATGGGGCTGAAAAGAAGGTAGTTGTTGATGATAAGCTTTTCACCGAGACAGAATCATACTTTGCTGATGCAAAATTCAAATTAAAGAATTATTTGTCAAAGGAGGTTAAGTTTGATGATGTGATGTCGATCAAAAATATTGCAAAAAAGGCTGATGTTACAACTGGTAAGGCAAATATTACGGTCAAAAGGATCAATTACTCTATGATAGGAACAAGATAAAATAAGATATCTTCAAGTAATAAAGTGAATCATATTCTTTGTTATGTCCCAAAGGCAACGAAGGTTGAAGATCCATCTTCTGAACTACAAGATAATGTATTAAGAGGCTTGACCCATCCTATCAAGCGAATTGATGCAATTAAGTCGTCCACAAAGTTGCTTATAGGGTTTGTCAAATCATCAAACCACAATCTGCTTCTAAATCTAGTGCTTCATGCAGAGCGCACATATAAGGGCCTTGACCCAAATGCCTACAAGTTGTTAGCAAAAGCTGGATATGATCCCAATGAACCATCCAAATTGGGAAAGCTCCCACATGAAGCTTTTAACCCTACTCAAAAGATGATGATGGAGAAAGGCATGAAACAATCATGTGAAGGTTTGGTTACAAACAACCCACACCAATCAATATCTCCATAAAAAGAGCAAGTTGTAACTACATTACTACTAAAGAAGAGTCTACAATATATAATGAGTAGCCTTTTGTGTTTGATCGACATACAAACAAAGGACCTCGGTGTTTGATAGATTGGGACCATTGTAGATGGGACACAAGTTCCATGGAAGTAATAGAAGGATCGAAGCACCTATCTTCACTAAAAAGTAAATTTCAACCATAGACTGCCTAAGTTTGGTTCCTTCTAAAATGAAGCGAGAGACAAAACTTGCAGTTTTATCCTAAGAGGTCCTCAAAGCAGGCTCATGCTAAAGAACGTGAAGAAGATGAAGAAAGTGTAGGGTTATCATATCATATCACCATTCATGACGAACAAAATGCTTCATCTCATGCGAAAGTCGAGGAAAAGTGGCTTGATATTAATTTATGTCATCACATATATTTCAATGATGGTGATCCTAAAGAGGATGAAGACACTAAAGATGCACCACCTGAGCTTGAAGAAGGGGTAAAGATAATGGTTGATACACTAAAAGAAGTCAATCTCGGAGTTGTTAAAGATCCAAAGCCCACATATGTAAGTTGATAATAGGTGAATTGGACTATAATTAGGCCCTAAAGAACCACCTTCTTGTATAGTTTTTATGGTAAAAAGTGATAACAAAATGCTCTGATTAGTGCTTTTCATGCTTTGCAGGCTATATACAATAAAAGAAGTCTATGGAGTACTTTTGGGATCAATTACGGAGAAAAAGAGGCCAATCTTACAATATCCGCTAAGT